CCCTTCGGCGCTTGAACCAACGTCTGCCACATCCCGGGATGGTGCTCTGACGTCTCTCTGAGTAAGAACCTCTGCCCTCTCCGCCATCCTCGGAGGATGTTGATGAGCACCGACGATGTCGGTGCTGCTGGGCCTGGCAGCGGAGGTGTGGGAGCTTTGCTGGGTGGGGTGAAGCCTCTGGTGCTGTGAACAGCAGGGTGTGGGTGCCGGTGGCCTCTGCGTTCCTCCAAATCCCAAATGGCCCTTGCAGACTCCCGCGCTTCCCTCCTCACATGCTCTGAAGCAGCCTCTGCTCCCAAGCAGGATTTTGCCCGTAGAGATGGACATATTGAACCAAATTTGCCATTAACGAGGAACTACTGAGATATTTACAAGCAAGCAGGTATTAATGTATTTGCAACGTTGGACCCTTAGAATGGTAAATGTCTGTGCCAGATATGTTTAAAGAAGCTACATGACAACTCTTAATACTGCTTGCAGTTTACACCAGCAGTGAAACTGATGTCTGATGACATGACCTGAAACATGGGCACTGAGTAAAAGGTAGATTTTGAAACCGTCCTATGAAACACACACAGGTCCTATGACTTTTTATATGTCTGTTTCATGAGATCCTTTTTTGTATGCTGTTGCAAGTGGGACATCAACGCTTGTCTTATAGTATTAAGAGTATTTAATAATAATAATAGGATTAGGCTAGGAAACATCAGACAATGTTTTCTTGTAGGGTTCCATTAAAAAGCCTACTGTTAAACACAAACTCTCCCTTTAAAATCCCAAGAACATCCTCAGTATCTTATGTTGCTCAATATAGGTCAGATCTTGTGCCTAAATTATTTGGCAGAATCATCTCATATCACGGCTGCGGAAAAAAATAATTTGGGATAAAAAGGAATTAAAATCCTTCCTGCTGGCGAGCTCAACAAATAAGCCAAGGGACAAATGGGCATGGAAACCTAGCTGGGCTTGCTGCAAACAATTCTCTAGAACCCAAGATTGCATTTTAAAAAACAAATGTGTTTTTTTTCATTCTTTCCTTCTAAAAACAGCTGTAGGATGTAAATCGTCCCACTGAGTCAGCGCAGGATGAGGCAGAAAGAAGCCAGCCTCCATAGCTTTGTGGGTTGCTAACTTCAAAGCTGAATTTAGCGGTTTGAATGTTGCTGCTGTTAATGCTGGGGAGCTTTCATCTACATCTGACAAGCGAACGAGCTCACAGCGCGTGAGTACAGCGGGCACGTTGCCGTGTTTCAAGGAATCTGCCGCTAAAACAGACGGGCGGCACGTCAGCATCATTTCCACGAGTGGCAGCGGCTGGGTACAACCCTGAGCAACCTTCGCTCCCAGTTTCACAACGAGGGAATCCCCGCAGCGAGGGCAAGGAGGGAGCCCCATCTCCGTTTTGGCTCGAGATGCTCCTAATTCACACACAGGGATGCTGTTTTGGAGAAAGGCCGGACTCATCACGGTGCTGCTGCACAGCACCTTCGAGTTCTGGGCTGAAGCACGCTCCGATCTTAAGCTCTGCAAAACCCCTGGACAAACGGGAAGGCAGGTAGTTCTGCATCTGCAACAGCGTTATTGCACACATGTAAAGTGCTACTCTGAATCTCCAATACTCCACTCATGCGTGTTTTGCTCCTGGAACTCCTGCTCTACCGTAAAGGAGGCCCTGGGCTGTGTGGATACAGGTCTGAGCAGTCAGGGGCTGCTGGAGTAAGGAGCTGGTGTGGAGCGGGCCAAGCCTTCAAGTCCTTATTCCTGTCTCATATGGGGAGTAGAGTCACCAAAGTCACCAGGATTTTGATACGTGCAAGAACTGCAAGATTTGGTCTAAACATCTGATACGAGACAGCATTTTAAAGTACATATGTGGGCTGGGTGTTATAATTTTTGCAAAATCATGGCCCAAAATCAAGCAAAGATAAACAGGTCATGAGTATATTTAGGCTGGGAACCAGAAGAACAGCCTTCCAGTTGGAGGAACGGCTAGAATGAAGACAAGGCACCAGAAATTTCTGCAGACATCTTTCCAGCCTGAGCGGGGTGTGGATGGGGATCCAAGAGGCCTCAGGGGGACCAGGGTGAGCTCTGGAAGCCTGGGAGGATGACACCTAAGTGCCACGTGGATCCGGGGCTTACCGTCCCCTCTCTCCTGAACAGCCTCTAATACAAGGAGCTTGTCCCAAAGGTCCTATCACAGCTCACCCCTTTTAAATCCTCTCCTTAAATCAACATGCCCAGGGGGAACCAGCACTTTTTGGAGCCAAGATTCACACTCACCACATCCATCTAAAGACCAGCCACCGTGTTTCTGGGACTGTGGATTCTCCTGAGCTCATCTTCCCCCTCCTATGTCTCAAAAATGCTCGGAGGCACCATTCCCTCAGGTGTTACGTATGTAAGAAATCATGAAACCCTTCCTAACCACGTTCACATGTTGGACCGCTCCTGTTCTCCACTGACACATCCACCTCCATCGCTCTTCTTCTGCGTCCCAAACCCACAAGATGGGTTTGACTCAAGCTGTGGGGCCCACCAGTACATTAGCCGTACGGAGGGCGGTGGTTTTCATTTGCCTCCAGTCGGTTCCAGTGGGAGTCCTGGTTTCTCCTGATCGCTGCTGGAGCGGAGTGGCCATGTCCCCTGGATTCCTGGGTGCCCACCCACCGTGGGTGACGCAATCCTCTGCTCTCGCCGCAGATTTCCAGTTACAGCAAAATAACACGCTGAGCCCCAGGAGGCCAACATTGCCGGCAGACCTCTGTGCTGATAGCTGTGTGCCTTGGAAATGACTCAGGCTCTCCCGTGTGACACAAAGGATTCAAAAAACACGGAGCTGGTAGATTTAATCGTACAGTTCTGCACTCGGGAAGGCCGTGTGCTCGAGGCAAGAAAAATGTATGTGATGTTTATGTGAGGATTTGTGAATGAAGGAGTCAAACCCCCTCCCCTGAAACATGTGGCGCCGCACTTAACATGCTGTTATTAATAGATCAATAATTTTCATGGAAGTGCCTAGTAAAATGTGTTTTCTGGAGAGGTTCCGCCGGAGATCAGCACGTCTAGCAGCGAGTTTGGTAAGAGCAGGGTGTGCAGCACTGCTTTGGCGGAGCTGGGGAACTCTCGAAGGGTTGATGACAATGTCAAGGCAGAGCAGAAAGACGTGATGCCCAAGGGATGCAGGAGGAACATGCACTTTGGCTCAAAAACTCCTACAATAAACTTTGCTCGAAATAAAGCAGCAAAAGAACTCCCCAGTCCCCAGATCCCTCCCTTCCAAGATCCGTCACTGCATGCCGGACTTGCTAAACCTCTCCGCGATTCCACTGCCTCCTTCCAAACGTGTAAAGCCTTGCCCTTGTGCTCTGTTCTGAACCCCCGAGTTGTCCCCGTCCCCTCCGAGCTCCCGGCTGCGTGCTGCAGAGCTGCACGCGAGGCTGCCTGGGTGCGTGCTGCCTTGTTCAGATGTGCAGCCGACCTTGGGAAGGACCTGCACAAAATGCCCAGTCCACTTCAATCCCCAAAACAAGACTTAAGCAAGACTTCAGTGATGCCTGGAATGAGTTGTCCTGCGGTGAACTGAGGAGTGAAGCTGTGTTTCCAGAGCCAGCACTATAAATGGGCATCACTTACCGATCAGAACCACAGAATCCCAGAACGGTCAGGATTGGCAGGGACCTCTGGGGATCATCCAGTCCAACCCCCCTGCTAAAGCAGGGTCACCCAGAGCAGGCCGCACAGGACCACGTCCAGGCGGGTTTTTGTGTTTGTAAGAGTCCCTCTCAGCCATCTCTTCTCCAAGCTAAACAAGCCGATCTCCCTCAGCCTTTCCTCACTGGAGAGATGCTCCAGTCCTCTCACCATCTTTGTAGCCATCAGATCTTTGTTAAAAGCATCTCACTACAGAGACAGTGGTGCTCAGTCTTGTGAAAGGGCATGAATTAAGCCACCTTCAAAATATGTATTACCATAGAGGCAATACCACCGCAGAAGATCGCAAGGGGGAAGAATCTGATGTTTCTCTGTTTTTAGTGCTTTTGGTTCCTGCATTGCAGCCAGCCGCGTCCCCAGCGCAGTTCCCTTTTGCTTCGAGCTCGTTGGACTTCCTACTTCCCGCACGGCACCCTCTCCATTACATGTGTGACAGAGGAACCTTTGTGTGGTGGCATCTTTTTTTCCAGGATGGAGATTTATACTCACAGCTAGATTTGCACAAACTTCTTTCTTACGGAATTTTACAAATGAAGTGTGGAGGGTAGCTGAAAATGTCGGTTTACTGCTGAGTTCAGTGGGAGGCTGATGCAGAGGGAGGACCCGGCGAGCTGCGAGCGGCGATCTGTGCCGTGAGCATGATTCAGCACGTACAGATGCTGAAGGATCAGGAAGAGAAGTGTTGCGATGGTTTGTTACCGGAATTGTTTCGCATGACAGGCAATAAGGGAGCCAGTTGTTGCTATTTTGGGTGGACTAAAAGTGAACCGAAATGCTTACACCGTTGCTCTGTCACATCTGTGAGCAATTTCAAAGCCAACCCCTGATCTGAGTGAACCCAGGCTGTGCTCTGAACCCATTCCTCTGGGAAACCAGTTGACCCGCCCAGGCGTCCTACCTACATCGCGTCACTGATGACATCAGAGCTGTAATTTGTCAAAGCAAAACAAACAGGAGCTGCCAGCCTCCCAGAAGGACCGGTCTGTTCACGGGACAGCCGGCTTCTCTCCTGCTTTATTGCTCTGTGGGTCACAACTCTGAGGGTAACTTCAGTGGCTTGTTGGGGATCATTGTGTTAAACGTCCTTCTCGTGCTGAACGGAAATGTGGCAACAAAAATGACTGAACTCTGCCAAAAGCATAGTTTGCTGGGTCTGGTACACAGATGCCTCTCGGAGGCATCAGCCAAACTCCGCTGAAGTTATTAAAAGGCTGCTGTGCTCTCAGGGCAGGCAGGAGCAGCCCGCCGGGCTGAACGCTGCCCAGTGTGTGCTGCGAGCACAGTACCTCGAGCAGAACTGAACCCGCATCCGGAAAACCTCTGGGAAGCTCCAGGGTTCCTCGCAGATCTCAGATTCCTTCGTCACAGCGGAATAGTTCAAGTCTGAGGCTGCCTGCGTGTCACCAAATCAACAGGTGCATTTATCTGTCAAGAATGACTTGAACAAAAGAACAACAAGCATAATTAAGAGAATTAATGGTCTTCAGCAGTTATCTATGCTTCCGCAACATGGTGGGGGGGTAACAGCGAGCCAGGGGCTGGGTAGGAGCTGGCTTTCCAGGGCTGGATCGAGTGCAACGCATGAAGTTTTCTTTCACTTCAGCAACCTGCTCAGAGGAGCACTTCGCTCAGAGCTGACAAAACTGTTTTTTGGTCTTATAGTTACGGGGTTGCCTTAACTCTGAGATATGTGTCCCTGCCAGCCCCTCAAACACATCCTGAATGGAGATATGGGGCATCAGCTGAAAATGCCTGCTGGATAAAGGCAGGAAGCAACAGAAAAGAAAACACAAGTCCAATAAATGAAGGTGAATTCTGTTGTGGCCTTGTGCAATGGGAGGAAAAAAAATCTCTGTGGTAAAAAAAGAAATTGAAGAGTTCATTATTTTTGGCAGGACATCCACACATTTTGCTTATCAAGGGATCATCACAGGGAGGGGATGATTTTATACTCGCATAAAAGTTCCCTCCCTCCTTCAGTTTTTCTGATCCCAGGCTGCCTCCCTTCAGTAAGAGGGGCCTCTTCATAGGATTACATTTCCACTTCTTTGTTGTTTTTTTTTTTTTACAGATACTGTATTTTTGAAAGACAGATTTATCCAGTTCTGCAAGGGACAGACGTGGTGCTGGCTGCCCAGGACCAAAAGGGGAAGGTGCCAGCGGTGGCTCTGATCTGCTTTCCACGGCCGTGGTCCGATGGGTGCTGTGAGCTGGGATGAATCAGCCCGCAACCCTGCATCCCCTGGCTGCCCGTCCCCTCCTCCTGCCAGCTCCTGGGCGCCGTGTCCGCGTCACAGCGCTGAGTTGCGAAGTGAGAGACGGCCGTTAACCAGGCTGAGCTGGTCCCCAGCAGAAGGTGCTCTCCCAGTTGAGGTCTGCCCATCGAGTGGCCATGCCATGAGAGCCCTGGGCTCCCTCCTGTGCTGCCCACCCACCTCCCTCTGCTTCACCCGCACAGGGGACATCGCCAACACAGCTGGTGCTGGGCATGGAGGTGCCCCTTGCTCTGTTAGACCCAGTGTCGCTCTAGAACCTGGACATCTCCAGCATTTCTGATAACAGAGCTCCAGGACGTTGATTCCCAGAATATCCACTGCCAGTGGGAAACTCACAGCCTGGGACTCTGCTCCTCGACACAGAGCATGACTAAAGGGTTGAGCCCGAAGGAGGTTCTCTGGCCAAGCACAGCCTCTACTGCTTTTTTTTTCTCCAGGGGGTGGTGGTTGCCACAGCAGTGCAAGTGAGGTGCAAATTCTTGCTGTAACTCCAGCCTACCAAACCTCACTCTGTTTATTTGGGGTTTGGCCTGGTGTTAACGGGAAGTTGCTGAGAGATGTGACTGAATGCAAAGAGGAAAAACCCATCAGCAAGAGACATGACCTCCGGCAAAGGGCTACAGTCCACCTGGGACAGGGTGAAGGTAGGCACGTGCTAACCCACATGCTCTGCGCTAGATAGAACACCCTGTCCTGCCCCACCGCTCTGCCAAGGGTTATCTGGAGGCTGCGCTTGCCCAGCCAGCCTGCTGCTAATGAAGATGCCCCATGGCATCCAACGAGCTCTGCAAAATGGTGGAGATGGGAAGAAGATGAGAGCAGTCTGAATAATTTTTCAGCTTGGGAAGTTTAGCTGCTCTGAAATATTCTGGCAGCAATGAGTATAGCAGGAAACCCCCACCTTCCTTGGACACCCTCGCACCCTCCCTGATCCTTCCTTGGCCACCTGGATTCACCTTTCCCAGCTCCACAGCCAGTGTCGCGGCTGAGCCCACCTCCCTCAGAAGAAACCCATCTCCCTGCCCCTGCTCCCTTGCATCGGGGGCTTTTTGGGTTTTTTTTGTTGGTTTTTTTTTTGCTGCCTGCTTGCTGTGGGGAGGTGGGAATGTGCTGTGGGTGTGCAGAAAGGATGCTCTGGACAGCCTGAGTGGCTGGCTGGGCACCTGGCTCGATGCGGAGTGCCCTTCGTTCTTGAGAATGGGCAAACAAAATCACATTTAAATAGAAATAACCATGGGTAAAGGAAATGATGGTGCACCAGGCAGGGCAGATGCCATCTCTGGCCCTTGTCCTCTGGTCTCTCTCCGTTTTGGCCCTGTTCTCCGAACGTGCTCTAGGAACAACCCAGCCTGGCTGCTGGTGCGATGTCGTGGCTGCGGGGATGCTCGCTGCAGCCCTTCTCACCCCATCCAGGCCTGGAGACCCCTGTCACTTGGTGCTGAAGGAAACCTTGCCCATGCTTAACACATCAGAAAAAAATTGTTTAAGAACAGATTATCCAGGCGAAAACAAGCTCCCGGCAGTCCTGCCAAGGTCGGTGTGAACTGCTGAGCCGGTGCTCTGCTGCGAGCCACAGCTGGGTCTCACTCACCTGCCTTTTCCAGGCATGCAGGACACCTTGGGGAGAGGGAGCATGCAGACTCTCCCTTCCCATGCTCTTCTCCCTGTCCTCTCCAGGGACATGTCCCACCTGCCTGCCCACGTGCTTGCTCCTCACTTCACTAGAAAAGAAAACCACGGGCTTTCTCCAGGTCAAACAAGATCCACGCATGTATGAAACCTGGGTCAGGATTTAATCAATGCAGGTTTGTGCATGGGGCCCTGGGTGTTCTGCTTGGTCCCCACCCTTCAGCCAACCACCGGGACATCGCACATGGGGAGTGGGCTCTGGGTAGTCCGTTCTCCTTGCATGAAATCCCAGGGAAGAACACGGTCCTGATCCAGGGTGAGTGCCGCAAGGCAGGCATCCCCTCTTCCTAGCACCAGTCCAAGGGTCTGCTCCGGTGCAGGGCTGGGGGTCACCGAATGCGCTGCTCCACCAGCAAGGACCTGGCTGCTCCACCAGCAGAGACCTGGCTGCTCCAGGTGTCACCTGCACGGCTCTTCCTTGCCTAGCCTCTCCCGGGGCACCAAGTGAGGATTTTCAGGGTGCTCTTCTCATTAATGAGTCCTTATAAACTCCCCACGGCCTGGCCCAGCATGGCAGGAGGAGTCCCTCTCCCAGCATGGGCAGGATGTTGAGGTCTCCAAGCCGTCTTCTTTGGTCTGCAGCATCTGTGTCACTTCTCATCCTGCCCTGTTGTTAGCTCTCCTTGGAGGTATCGTTGTGGGAAGCAGAGCAGTTCTCCGGTTCCTTTGTAATCCCCACTGAGCACTGCTCCACTTTGACTTTCTTTCTTCCTCTCATTGACTTCTTAGAACCTGTAAAGAGCATGATGACCGCAGCAGTTAACCTCAGAGCAATGGATTTACATGTACGATGTCAGCATGGCCTCATCCTGCAATAGAGACAGCGCAGGAGGAAGCAAAGCTCAGCAAAGGAAAGGTGAAAAGAAACCCCTCTCACACTCGAGATGCAGAGGTACCTGGGGGAGGCTGCTGTGACCCTGGAAGCAGAGAAAACATGGGAAGCAGAAATAGGCACAGAACTGACCCAGTGCAGGAGGGTACCTGAGAGGGTACCCAGACCAGCAGGATGCATTACTTGGATTTCACCCCCTTCCAGTGTGGTACACGGCACACACCACGTGCTGAGAGAGGGGTTATGCCTCTCCATCACCCCATTCCTGCCACAATTGCATCCAGCCCTCACTCGGGACATCCCCATCCAGTCCCGGAGGGTGGGATGGTGTCTGCCCTGCAGAGCACGGGGCAGCTTCCTCCCGTTGCTCCGAGCGGCTGGTTGTGTAGAGCAAATCCTCTTCTCGCTCAGCTGTGGTGGTACCCACCGAGCGAGCAGGCACCCCCGAAGGCCGGGCACAGAGCAAGGGCAGCGCTTGCCTGTTAAACCAGCTCCCTTCATGCTTAAGCAACCGCCCTCTCTACATTTACGGTTGGGTCAACACTTCCCTTTCTTTACCAACAGTACGAAGGGTTCAGTAGCGGGGTATTTCTGGCAGAGCACCTTTCAGGGCTTGACAGGCACACTGTCTTATCCTTGCCCTTATCAGGAGCAGTTTTCTGCTTATTCACCTGTAGGAAACACGGGTACAACACATTCCTCTGTCGGCAGGGAAACCTCCACAGCCGCGCTGGAAGATCAACAGAGTTGGCAGAAACCTTTCTCTGCATGTCAATAACTCACCCCTGGGAATTTGGCCGTCTCCAATCCCCACCTCCCTGACTGGCTAAGCAAACATGAGGGACTTAGCCCTGTTAGCTTAGGTGCTCAGGAATGCTCTCCTGGCCACCCTGCCCAGGCTCCTTGGGCTAACCATTAGCAGGGGCTCCTCCGGCTGGAGACACAACTGTTGCCAAAACACGATGCAGCGCATCGTATCGCAGTGAAACGAAAGACTCCGCTGTACCACCTTGGGCAAACATTTGTTTGCAGCATGGCATGCACTCAGCAGAGGAGCACCCTCCTCTCCTCTGCCAGGAAGGCGGCTGGTGCCCTCGGGTATTTCTCACAGAAGCCCCTCGGGAAGCTGCGTGATGCCACGAGGAATTCCTCCTTCCTACCTTCTGTCCAGGGATCTTGTCCTCTTTTTCTCTTCTTCTGCAGCGCATGAGTTTTTTCTTTGGTGCAAAAATATTTCCCATCAACCTGGGCTTCTTGTAGGATATCGTCTTCGTATGGGGCAGCCACCTACACCGACAAGAAGAGCAGTCAGTCTACAGATTACTCCACTTTCCCAGGGAGCTGATGGCCCGGTGGCATTGCTGGGGACCTTTGTGACCATTGCTACAGAGTGGTGACAAATGCTGTTGCTCACAAAGCCTCTTGACTAGCTG